TCTTGGGGCTCCTTTAGAGACCTTTGACCACAGTTCTGCAGGAGATCAAAATAGGTCAATTTTTCTTTGATTTCTGAATATTTCTGCTTAATGATCACAAGAAAAGTAATTTTGTTGTGACTTTAAAAAATAAGTCTGTCTAAATAAGCATGACCTTTCCATTAAATTGGATTGCAATCTGTTCTTGGACTAGGTAGAAAGAACTATCAGAAGACCTCTTGAATATGTTTTCAGGACTTTGATTCTGTTAGCTAGACCACTATTGGAACACAAGGCAAAACCCTCTGATGATTTAGTCTAAGAACATGAGATTTCATTTTTATGGTTTTCAGAAATCTGAGTTTCCCAAGCCAGTTGAATTTGGTTTTTGGTTTTCTGCCCAGAACATTAAAAAACACTTTTTAACTTAGATTGAAAATGTACAAATGCATTAGATGTAATTAGTGAGCATATATGAAATATTACATATACAAAAATATTTAAAGAAGTGGTATAGCAAACTATGGTTAGACTGTCTCAGATATTCCCTTAACTTTTCTAGACAAATTCACTTTATTTAGCAGTAAAGTTTATGAAAATATCTCCAGGAGATAATATGTTATCCCACATTCCTCTAGTGAATACACTACACTTTCAACAATATTTTCAGTGTTAAGGTTAAGTGATATTCTTTTCTTTATTTCATTTCCTTGTCAGAATGTTAATAATTAACCCAAACTCACATTGTTTTTGTCCCAACTGTGGGGAAAAGGTAAAAAAAAAAATAATAATAATAAGGAAGGTAAAACAATTTAAGGATCACTTGGAACTTTTAATTTGACTTGGGGTGGTACTTGTATCAGATTTATCTTATTTTAGAAAAGTGAAAAAAGAAAAAAAAGATGGTACTGTCTAGAAATTTAGTCAAACATCTAAGAGACTCTGACAGAAATTTCTTAATATTCATCTTTCATTGTAACAAAATTGGATTCAAAATGGCAAACTACCTCATCTGTGTTAATTATAATAAAGATTTTGATAAAGATATTAGCAGGGCAAATTCCTGTAATGAGAGCTAGTGAGAATAGAGTGGAGAAAGAACGTACTTGGGGGCATAGATTGGCTCTGTCATGAAGGTCTTGAAAAATTTAGATTATACACATGCACATATACCCTCACATATACAAATCTGTGGGTGAGTGTGTGCATGTGCGTGTGTACAGGCAGTCATGACAGAGAAACATTGGTGCCTCCTCCCACAACCTATGCTGCCAAGATAAAGGTCATGACAACACCACCACCATCTTTAAGCCATCTCCCTATAAGTTCTAAACATTCCTGGATGAAGCTCAGTACAACACTTGAAAAGACTGAATTGAAGTAGGACAGACATTTTATAATACTCAGCCAGCTTTTGTGCATGTCTTTTCCTATTTTACTTACAAACACAATACTCTCTCTATACTATACACTATTAGCAGTAATTTTAGATTTATATGGTATCTCTTCTTCTAACACAAATAAAAGATCATTTGTCCTCATGTAAGAAAAGAAGGAAGCTGTTTGAATGGTCTGAAAACTTTTCTGTCTCTGGTGTTTCCTTCTTTCTCACCCAAAATGTCAGATCAATCTTAATAAAGCAATTTTTTTTTTTTTAAGTTACTTGCAGAAACTTTTAGCAATTAATTCCTGTTGGAAAAATTCCAGACTACAATTCTAACAGGACACAGAGATTCATGGTTGCATTCCCCCCTATCCAGCTGTATTCCCCATGATTACTCAGCATATATATCCTTCATGCAGCTGTTCTTCCTGCTCAATCCACTCAGTGGCTTCTGTTCTTCCTTCACTTAGATTGTGCTTTCTCTTCATCCAGATCTCTTTCACTCCCCAAGTAAAGTTCTGTTTCTTCTCTGAAACCTTCCTAGCTCACACCAGGTCATTCTAGACTCTTATACTATGAAGAGTTGGCTTATTTATTAAATATAACTGATAAAATATGAGGTATGGTGATGTTTAAGCAAGATGAGAGTGCAGGTCTTCTGAGTGAATTCTGTCCTTCAGATTATTTTTTGTGCCGTTCAGCTGTTCTCACTTTTTAAAAATTTGTTTTTCTTCATCTTTTCTATTTTACTCCCTCTCTTAAATGTGAAAAGACACACTGTAAGCAGAGATGCACTTAGCCACACTTTGGAGAAGAAAACTAATAGATTGATGGCAAATAGAAGGCTAAAGCATCCAGTATGGAGCTGCATATCTAGTTTTTACAGTTAAAGCAAAACAAAACAAAAATCCCAAATGCCACAATCAGTCAAGTCAAAACATAACTGGTTTATTATTAGGACAACTCCCCATGGGTTGGCATATTATAGCCCAAAATTCTGAGAGGAGAAAAGAACAACCCCCAAACCTTATTAAGTCAGTTCAACAAGGAAAATAATGGCATGATATTAAATAAAATAACTGGAAAACATATACAGTTGAGATGGAGGTGGTAATAAACATAAAGTTGGGAGGTAAGAAATTTAGAAACAATAAAGGATATTTACACTTATGAAAAGAGAGAAAAAACAGTGCTTAAGTCTGAAGACCGACAAGTCAAAGTCTTCACTTCTTGCCTTTAACAGGTCTTTTATAAACGTTGAGATAAGGTCACAAAAAGCCCAGCCAAACCTACACATCCGTTTATGACAGTTTAAGACAGAAGGTGTGAGGAACACATTAAAAAGCACATATTCAGCAACACTGCTTCACCAAGGACCCCATTTTTGCAAAAAAAAGTATTTCTAATCATCCTCCTAAATCTCAAGAAATTTCTCTGAAGGACAGAAGGAATGGCGATACAGAGAACCTGAAGAAAACAAAACAAAGTAAAACAAAATCCTCTTTACGCACATCAAACACATCTAAATGACCTAAGATTCTTGCATTTAGTTCCGGGACTCCCTGTCGTCCTCCTCTCCCGGTAAGTAGAAAAAACAAACATGAAAATCCAGGTGAAATGTAAAAGCAGGCTCACGTTAAAAATAGTCTTGTTCTCTCAAAATCAAAATGAGAAAAGGGGAACAAAGGTCTTCTTAGACTCCCTAAACATTCAGTAGTTACTGTATACCTTAGAAGTGCGTTTTCAACTTTATTTTGTTGAAACACCACCCCGCTCCTCAGTTGCTTAATTTCTGGGGTCAATGGACAACCTCCTAAAAGTCACGAGACTGCCTTTGCTATGTTTGGTCTTCATCCAACTTCTTTATTATCCCTGCTGTTGTGCACTACACAGTTTTGTAGGCTCACCAGATAACATGGAGAAACATAACAAGATTATTATTCCCAGACTGTTTGCCAACTGATTTAGTGCTCTCTCCACTGGTATACAAAATAATGAATGGTCTGTTATTTGTAAGTCTTTTAAAATAGAAATCCCAGGCTAGTGGGTAGGGGTAATTTCTGGTTCTGCCTAACTCCTTTGTTCTTTCTTTGCCTCAGTTTCCAAATCTGTCTACTAATGTCACTCAGAATGCTCATTTCGCCCCTTCCCTATCCAGGGCAAAATCACCTGCGTATTTTTTCCCCATTTCATCATAACAAAAAAAGAGATGCAGGAAGGAGATATGTATAATCATTTATAATTTTCCAGATCTTGCTTCCAGAATTCTGTCCATCACGGGACCTCAGGAAATCCATGAAAGCATGCCAGTTCCTAAAGTCAACTCCACCGAGTTGACCTCCAGACAAGTGAGGCGCAGAGAATTTAATTTGCTGCAAGTCATATGGCTAATTAAGGACAGAACTCACAAGAACTGAAACCCAACTCTTCCTGTTCTGAATTGAGCACAATTCATTTTCACGGGAATTTCAGAAGGCCTACGGACATTCAAGGTCTGGAGGGGTTTCTGTCTCCACCCAGGATGACACTTGGAAATACATGCTTATGGCTGGTTTTCAAGGCTTTGTGGTCTGTTTCTGTGAAGAACCAAAGAGACCTAACACCCTCCTTGAGCAGTCAAATCCCCAAGTACCTCAGACTCAGCCCATTTTCTTCAGGGTTGAGCCAGGGCAGATAACAGTAGAAACCTAGAGCACACCTCCTTCTCTAGCAGACCCAAGTCAAAGTAGGTGGGAAAAGAGTACAAGACCACTCATTTGTCCAAAGGGGCATCTGTGGACAATCAATGCCAGTTAGCTTTTTTGTCTTCCTTCGAATTAGTTAAGTAAAATTTCTTCAAAATACGTTGTTTTATCCTTAACTTTTTTTTTTGCACAAAACTAAAGATTTGTTAAATACTTTGCCTACAGTCACAAATTAGCTCGGTTGCATGTGCAATTTTGTCCAAGTCGTGGTACATTTTGCACAAGAGTGGTACATTCTGCTTTGGGAGTGTGATATGTATGAAATATAAATCTGCCAAGAACCTTCCTCCGAATTGCTCTGGGACTGGGCCGGGCGGGCACCGACCTAGCGAGGGAGGGGAGAAAACAAGGCGCGTCTGAGGGAACGCCTTTGGGTGAGGTCTGGGGAAGATGAAGAAGTCAGATTATGAGGAAAGAGCGCTTGAAACGTTTCTCTGCCCTACTGAGGCAGAGCCATAACAAAGTGAGAAAATGGAGGTGGGGACGTCCCTAAACTCCACGGCTCCTGCACTTGCAGCGAAAGCCCCGCCTGGTGCTGCCGGAGGTTAGTGCGCGTTTGCGTCGAAGTCAGGAAAGGGCCTCACGCTACGAACCTGCAACTCTCCGCCCAAGGCAAACTGGCTGGAGGCGAGCTCAGAACAGGAAAATCCAGGCCGCCCGCGGGGGCGCCCGGCCTCCTTCCAGCCTCGCCCCTCCCAGGAGGGCGGGACCCGGCGTGGGACCCGGGGGACGAGGCGGGGTTTGGCCCGGCGCCCGGCGCTCGGCGCTCCGCTCTCGGCGCCCGGCTCGCCCCGCCCCGCGGCCCCGGCCCCGCCCCCGCCCGCCCCGGGCCCGCCCCCGCCCGCCCCGGGCCCGCCCCCGCCCCGCCCCGCCCCGGCAGCGCGGCCGTCTCCGCCCTCGGCCGGGAGCTGGGAGGCTGCCCCAGAGCTGCCGCAGTCGCCGCCTCTGCCGCCCGGGAACGGTCGGACCCCCCTGAGCCCCGCCGAGCCGCGCCCGGAGCCCGGCCGAGGACGCTGCCGTCGCAGCCCGGAGTCTGCAGCCCGCGCCCCGAACCCTGCGCTGCCCTCCGAGGGCGCCCCAGGCCGCGCCATGGTGAAGGTGACGTTCAATTCGGCCCTGGCCCAGAAGGAGACCAAGAAGGACGAGCCCCACAGCGGCGAGGAGGCGCTCATCGTCCCGCCCGACGCCGTCGCGGTCGACTGCAAGGTCCGAGGGCCCGCAGCGCGGGGCGGGGGCTGGCCGGGCGCGAGCTGCGAGGGCCGCGGGGCGCGGGGGAGCGTCCCCGGGGAGCCGAGTGCTCCTTTTTCCAGGGCTGCTCCCGCTCCTGCTCCGGCGGCCGCCGCCGCTGCTTTGTGAGAAAGTGCGTGTGCAGGAAGCGGCGCCCGAGCCCCGGGGCCGGGGCCCGGCGGGGGAGGGGGAGGCTTTGTGCCGCCTTCGCAGTCGTGGCTGCTTTCGGGGGAGGGTGCGGGGTGCGGGCGCGGGGCTCCAGACCTGCAGGCCGGGCGGCGAGCAAAACAGCAGAGTTTGCCACTTCCTTCCCAGTATCAATAATGTCCCTAAAATGGCTGACAGCGTTACAAGCCCGAACCTCTTCCTACTTTCGATTCCAGGCTGACCTGCGCTTGGACTCAGGCCAGGTGTTCCAAACCCCATGATTTTAAAACAGTTCTCTTTTTTTACCACCAGCTCTTGGTATTGGCAGGTGAACTTCGCGGTGGGGTCTGGAGAAGGGGCCGGGAGCGTGGGAGGGGAGACTGCAAGCGGACGACCCGCTCAGCTTAGTGCCGACTGTTGATTTTATAAGTAAAACAAGTATTTCTGGTAATTGCTATGTGGATGTTGGTGTAAAATCGACAGTTGGCTTTCGGAATCTTATCTCGATTCCTTACATGAAATGAAACTGTTACGTCCACCTTTTCTGGGGACCACCCTGTTACAAAACCAAAACGTAGGGAAATTTTCCCCAGGTCCCTTTAAAAAGTCTCTTATTTTCTACCCCCCTCTCCTTAAGCCCTAAGTAAAAATAAAGAGTGGGGTCATAAAATTGTGCAAACTTTGAGTAGCTTACAATAATATCTATTTAAAATATGATTGTAATTGTTAAAGAGTTAAAAAGAAAAGCCCCACAGCCTTTTTCTTTTGGCTGCAAATCTTTTGGCTGCAAAAATTAATTCTGTAAGTTATCTGTATTATGTTCCTTAACTTATTTCTTCCTTATCATTTTTCAAGACCTTTGACCAATAGGGTAAACATAGCTTTAATTTTAAAAACCCAGTAATTTGTTTGCAGGTATGAATAACAAGCATTTTTTTTTAACACGGTCTAATGAAAATTATTGAAAAATAGGCCACTGATACAGTGTAAAAGATTTGGGAATGTTAATCTGGACATGCTTGTACTTATTTTCTGGAAGAATTCTGGTTAAAAACACAAATGTCAGTTGATTTTTCAATGTCTGTTTTGCCTTGAAATAGGAACAGTGAGCTCATTCCCTAAAAGGCTTAGGATTTTTAGTGTTGGTATTATTTTCCTGAAGCCATTGCAAACAGTCTTGGTCTTAAAAGAAAATGTTTGGAATGCACAGATGATAATTCCAGTAGCAAATTATTATCTCAGTTCTATGCTTATCTTACATTCATTGTACCTAAAAAAGGGTTGATGGTCAAATGCCCAGTCACAGCAATCTCAAATACATGGATAGATAGATATAGGTAGATTTCAATTTGATTATATATCTTTTTAAAATCCTCCGAACAAATATAACTCCTCCCACTTAAAAAAGAGAGAGAGAGAGAGGGAGCATAGGATGATGTCACTTCAGACAGCTTTGCTTTGTATTGCTGTATTGAAGGAGATTTGAAAATCTGGCCAAAAATCAGAATTAATTCACTGGGCTGCTTTAAATTCAGTTTTTGACACTTTCTGTCATATCTGAAATGGTGTCCCTGTTTTCAAGTTCTCAGAATTTCTCCCATTTCCACCATATTAAAATTTTGTGGTTGTAGCAGCTATAAAAAAGTATTCATAGCTCTGTGCTTGCTTTTCCATTTTTATTTTCTCATATCTATGTCCAAAGAAAAATACTGGAATTAAGCAATGAGGGCCAGAGTCTTCCTTTGTACTAAAGGATGAATTGGCAGATACAAAATGACTAATTCTTTTTCTAGCTATAAGCTGAAAGACTTTTCTTCAGAGAGTGACAAAATATTGCTCTACATTAAAAGTAGAATCCTTATAATCAGCCTGTCACTTAACGGTAAACGAATATCTTAATGACAGACATTTGTGAAAGAACTTCTGATCATTTCATCTTAAAGCTTGGGCAGTGGTTACATAATGTTCTTCTCGAGAGAGTGACTGTTCAGTAACTGCTTGAATTCTGCACAGAATCAGCCTGGGGGTGTTTTCCTGGGGCATTTCTTTGCCTAGTTAGTTGAGAGGATCAAGCAACACTAATTATGGGCCAGAACTCAACAAGAATTTTTACCTCTTTTAACCCTTCTAAACCAAATATCCCATAGACCTGTGCTTCTGAAAATATACTCTTACCCCATCACTTGCTGTGGCATCATCTGAGATTCTGGTTTTAGCATGCAGATTCTACTGCCTTATGCCACAAGAATTCTGATCACTCCAGTCAACTGGCTTATGTAACATGCATTCCAGTACTTTTTACACTGCTCCTGTCTTTTGCTATTTATTTAGTTCTTTTCTTGCTACAGGGTGGAACCCTTTGAAAGCAATTCCATTGCCCCCTTTTTTCAGTCTTGTCTTTTCAGTAGCTATTAATTCAAACTGTCATGTCTTCTGGTTATATAATCTCAACTAGCTTGCTATTTATTATTCTACATTTTCCCCTTAACTACTTTCATCTTCCTCCACCAGTCCCTGTTGGCACAATGCATATAGAGGTATAGAAGCAGTAGAGTATAACCTATGTTTTGTATAACAGGTGAATTGGCAATTATGTGAATTTTTTAATGTTACAGATAACCAATCATTTGTCTGTGTCCATAGCTTTGAACATTGGAAAGTTGTTGTGTGTGTGCATATATCTAAGTAAATACTTAACGTGCTGAGTCAGAAGTCCCAGTTCTGTCATTATATGACTGCTTGATCTAGGGCTTAAGTTTAGAGTCTTCCTGATCCGCAAGATGAGAAAATAGACCAGATGGCCTGTAAGGACTCTTCCTGTTTTTAAGTTCTATGAGGATGCTAGGATTACATAATTATATTTGGCAGGAATTAAACTGTTTTAATTGTGAAAAATAACTACTTCCTTACCCAAACCAGACTGTTCCTTTATCCTCTCCATATTTAGCATGTTACATGCCTTCCTCATATTAATAGCAATGGGACAGAGAGAAAGATGGATTAGAGGTATTATGTAATCACCAAATTTTCATTTTGAGTTACCTCACCGGAGAATGCCAGTGAGGTAACAAATATCTCACTATTTGTCAACAACTCTTTTTGTTGCAATGCCTAGTTGTGAAACACTTTTCCTAGTATCAGACCTCAGAAACCATTTTGCTGATTAGTGGTGCCTCCTTTTTCACCTGCATTGTCATTGTAAACCTTTTAGAAACAGAGAAGGTGTGTGTAGGGGAGATGATGAGACAAGATGGAAGAGTGAGAAAAAGTGAAGGGCTGCTAATTTAGTAAGTTCTGTGTTATTCATCACGAAAGGCTGTTCGATCCTAGTTCTTGACACTCTGGCTTTTTGTAGCTTCATAAGGACTGAAGGGCTTGGTAATTTCAAGTTTTTTGGTGGTGATGGTGGGAAGTAAAGGAGGAAGATAAAATACATGCTATTTACTGAAATGTGTTGCTCTTTAGAGGAAGAATTGGAAACTTGGTTTTTCTTTAACCAAAGTGCATCTCATTACTTAGTTGTAAAATTTAGTGTTTGTAAATATCAGACAGTAAAAATTTTGGTTATATTACATTTTGGTTCTGCATGAGGGTATTGATATCTGAAATGAGGTTTAATACTAGGAGATAAATTAATTGCTTCTGTGAATCTCTAAGTGACTTGACGGGACCTCCAAGCTATGTACACATCCCCCATGAGCAGCAGCAGCAGAGAATGGACACGTTGCATATTGTGCAATTAAAGCCCAAGTGACCTGCTTGGGATCGTCCCAGAATCATATTAAACATATTTTCTCCAGACTAGACAGAAGCAAGTATATTATGCTTGGCAAAATCTTAAGTCTATAAAACGTTATGGAATTCATTTCTGCCACGTAAGAGTTCTAAGTGAATAGAAACATTTTTTTTTTTTAACTAGAAATCTCTCTCAGAACATGTGGTACAAACCTGTTTAAGTTGACTTAGAATTTAACTCATGAGGTTTTCATTACAAATTGCTAAATCTTGACTTGCTTTAAATATTCATCAGAAATATAATAAGTAGTGATTATGAGACATTTTATTTCTTGTTCCATCACAATGTAAATCTATTCAGAAATACTTTTTAAATTCCTATTATAGCAGAAGCATCATACACTGTTATACATATCATACTGTCAGTAGGGAAAAATCCAGAAAAAAAATTGTATCATTTTCAATAACATCAATGAATTCATCCTCTTAAACTTTTTCTTAACTTACCTCTTTTTATTATTAGAGTTTAAACTGGAGGAGTTGAGGACTTTGCCATTGAAGAACTTCCTCAGGCCATAACTGCTGCCTCTTAAAGGATTTAACAAATTTGAATTTCTGAATGAGATGGTTTTTAAGTGATGTAAAACACTGGAGCTGTGTTTTCAAGAAATTTATGTAAAGGGTCATTTTTTCTTTTGTTTTTATACAACTCTTAACAAAAGAAACCTACAATTTAGGTAGTTGGACATTGAAAATTGGAAATTATATTACCGATATGACCCTAATAATTATATTCTTTAATCAACATATGTGATATATTTTTTTAATAGTTTTAAGGACCTCTACAATATAATCCTATTTTATGTGTTACCAACAGTTGAATGAATGAAATTATTTTAAACTGTTCAAGATTTTTAAAATTCTTTAAGTAGAGGGAAAAGAACTTTATAAGCTATTTTAATGTTACCATTTTGGGGGGAAAATTTAGTATGAATGAGCATAGACTTTTTGTACTTTGCACAAGAATTTCAATCTTGACTTATGTAAATGAAAAAATTATTCTTTATCATAGAGGACTAATTCTCATTTTCCATTTA